CAGTGGTACTCGTGGGAGAGGCTCCCTAACATCGGTCGAGAGAGCCACTCCTATCTGCATCACATCATCACCAACTACGACCATCTTCCAGATGTGACCGTATTTTACCCCGGAGAGATTGCTGATCACAAACGACACTGCAGGCGAAATCCCCTGGATGCGGTCTCCAAGGCAAAGCGAGGCATCCCATGTAGCAAAGGAGGCGGCTACAGTGTACACAAGAAACACGTCATTAGTGCTGGTGAAAAGTATTTACTGAAGCCCAAGAATAAGTATTTCAGACCATCAGATTTTACGTTCATGGAATTTTATAAATACATCTACGGTCACAAGCCGCGTGGAGGATCAATACCACACTGCTGGAAGGCCTGTTTTGCCGCCACGCGGGAGATGATCAGAAAACACCCTTTGGACTTTTACCAGAGAGCCATATCGACTTTGGTCAAGTCTTCTAATCCTGAAGAGGGCCACTTCTTCGAGAGAATGTGGTATCACATATTCCATGATTGACCCTGATGACCTTAAATAAGCCTCGTACCAATGACGTCACACTTTGTTTACGTGTGTGCTTTCCTATGGTGCTCAGTCGTGGACCCCCACTGGCTCCATAGGAAAGTGCACATGTAAACAAATTGGAACGTCATTAGTAAAGAGGCTTATTCATTATCTTAATTCATTATAATCATGATTGTTGCATATGCAAAAAGTTAGTGAACGAGCCTGCTTTACCTTGCGAACCAGGACATCCAGCTCTCAGATCTCAGCCGCGATAAATTTCGTATGATTGTAAAAAAAAAAAAATTACTGTCGGCATTTGTTTTTCCTTCAACGAATTTCCAACTTCAATGCAAGGGCGGATCCAGGGGGGGGGGGGGGGGGGGGCAAAGGGGGTCATGCCCCCCCCCCCCAAAAAACGAAACCAATTGTTGTTTTTTTATGTGACGTCGCAATAAAGGCAGGCAATGAGTACACCACCATCTTTTCCTCAAAAAACATTGGCTAAAGTGGTCAGAAATTGCCTCAGATCGCACCACAGAGCATCGAGAATCCAAACAAATTTCGGGGCCCTAAAGCGGGCCCCGAACCCCGCGCCATAAGTTTTCGACCCTCTTTTTGGGAGACACAATTTTTTTTTGCCCCCCCAAAAAAAAAATATTTGGATTAGGCCAAAAAAAAAAGGTCTCCGGTTTCTGGTATGCGCGCGCGTCGCCGTAGCCATGCGCGTCGGCAAAATGAAAAAGTTTTTTTTTTCAATGAAAGATGATGTCTCAGAACCTCCAAACTCACTGGTTTGACTGGAATCCTGCTGCTGCACAATTTTAACGTGTTTTTAGATTGGGTTATGGTCCAGAATAAGCTTTATGTGGCCTCTCTGGACTCCCATATATATTTGCACTAAGTTAAGTCGGGCACCATTCATGCCATTTGCAGTCATCAGCCGACATTTGAAGCAAAAAAATCAGGTAAAAAAAAAAAAAGCCGCGTCGCCGCACCACTTTTGGGCAAGCTCCATACCAGAACCAGAGACTTTTTTTTTTGGCCTTACTGTCGCGCACGTACTGATCCTTTTTGCGCTGGGTAAACTGGTTCCCTGTCCTAACATTAACGATTATGATCGGGTGGTTGGACACAATCTAACTTGCGTGAGTGAATTATTCTCGAACCGCAAATAATTCGTATTCCCTATTTGAATGTGGCTGTGGGTTGGTTTGTTTTGTCCAATACCTAAATCAAAAGTGAATAACTTTCGTATTGCGAAAGTATACACAATACATTTTCAAAGACAGTATGTAAAACGTTTGGTCCAGCATGCGCAGCGTTTAGGTTATATCTCCATAAATACAGTCCAGTCGATAAATGAAAACTTTCTTTACTTTTCCTCCCCCCTCCCCCCCCCCCCAAAAAAGAGGTTACTTTGAAGATATGTACATGTACTGTCCATGGTGTTTTCAAGTTTCAAAAAGAAACAAACAAAAAACAGTCTTCTCGTTGAATGAGACTTCCATTATCACCTCACACATTTAAAAATTACTCGCGACCGATAATAGTCGGTAAGATTGGTTTCCGCCACCCTATGGCTATCGGTTACAGGGGCGGATCCAGGAATTTTTGCAGGGGGGGGGGGTGCATCAGCAAAACAATCTCAAGTGTAGACAGGGTTTTTTTTTCTCCGGACACTTGGCCTCCAAAAATCAATAGGGGTGCAGACCAGTAAATCGGTCCGAAATTGCCTGCACCGGCAGAATCGCGATTTGCATGCCCTCAAAATCTTCGGTATTTGAGCATGCTGTGGGCCATGAACTTGAGGGTTTGTAAAAAATATGGGTGGAAGCCGTGCACAGGACTGGGAGCTTGCAGTTCTGTGTAAATTGGATGTAATTTGGACCCTAAAAGCGCTCTATTTTGCAATGGAGTGTAGGCATCGTTTTTCAAAATGGCGATGGGCTTCAGGACTATTTTCAGGGGAGGTCGTCTTCAGATTGAAATTTCTTCTAAAAGTCATCAGTTGACCCACTTAAATTGAACAGAAAATGAAAGATGATGAAATAAGCTTTAATTTGATGTGTGTCTCGAACACCTTGGAGAGTTGTGAGTATTTTTCCCGAATTTTTGAAGTGGGAGCATTTACCATAGGGGGCTATGGAAGTTTATTTACTGGTCTGCTACCATAGGTTGGGAGGGGCGTGGCTCGTACCATACTCTTTCAATGGGGGCGCTGTTCAAATCCGACGATTATTACAGAATACTGTACACATATCCCCTAACCAAGCTAGCTCTGACCGTATTTTGTACACAGGTGGACATTATTACCAGTATAATATTTTAGGTTGTCAGAGCAGGGGGGGGGGGGGTTCGCATTATTTTTCTTGAATTTCTATGAAAAAAAAAGTTTTGACAGAGCTATGGGACCAACCCCCAACCCCTAGATCCGCGCCTGCGTTAGTGTAAGACCAGAACCAGTCTGCTTTCAGAGCAGATCTGTTTGTGCACAAAAGCAAACTGAAAGGAAAGCCTTTTTATGAGGGTTACAAAAGCCCAATAGAGAAATACATGAACACTTTCGATTTTTTTTTCCGTAAAACAAAACACACGTGATGACAATTATTTATCGAATTTGTTGTAGAGCATTTCACTCACTAAAAATTGTTAGTGTTTGAATAAAGAACCTTATATGAAATGATTTTTGATCTTTGGGTGCAATTGTTTTAAGAGAACATGGCGAGTGTTCGAATAAACCATTATCATGTCGCGGCCATCTTGATTTGTCGAGGCTGGAAGAAACATAACAATAGTCTGGTTTCTTTTGCACAAAAAAACATTATCATTCAGTACTGTTATTGGATACAGGGAACATGACTGAAATGTTGGCAGCATGATAACGGTCTATTTCAGTTAAGTTCATAATGGTTAAGTTACGTTCATGGTTCATTGCACCAGCGCCCTCAAGAGGCTAGGGGAGGTTGCTGTTATTATATGATATGAATGGAAATATATGAAATAAGTTAATCGATTTATTTATAGGGTAGCCTACATTCTTTGAAGTTAATAAAACTGTTTAATCGATGAAGGTTTAATGTAAACGAATTCAAATCTGGTACTAATAAATCGTGAGTCATGTTCATGAAGTTGTATAAACATCAGTAATAATTTTAAAAAAAAAAGTGATTTTCTTTTTTATTTAACGAATCAGGATCCTGTCATTACCCCCATTTGGGGATTTATTCAGGTTGAAGACCAGTTAATGAACTACCAGTAATAATTATGCCAACTTCAAAAAATATAAAAAATGCTCTCCAAGGTGTTTTAGACACACATCAAATCACATGTGAAGCTTATTTCATCATCTTTCATTTTCTGTTAATTTTTTGGCGGTTAACTAATTACTTTTGGAGAAAATTCAATCCACAGATGATCACCCCTAACACTAGTCCTTAAGCCCATCGCCACTTTGAAAAAGGATGTCTACGCTCCATTGCAAAATAGAGCAATTTTGTGGCTCAATTATTTCATCCCAATTTCACAGAAATACGAGCTCGCAGTCCTGTTCACGGCTTCCACCCTTCCTTTTTTACCCTCAAGTTCATCACCCACAAAATGCCCTTATGTCAAAAAAGGTAGAGGGCATGCAAATCGTGTTTTGGCCGGCGGAGGCAATTTCGGGCCTATTTTGTACTGGCTTGCACCCTTCAGACTTTTTTCCCAAAGTTAATGACTTTTTTTCAACAAGATCGTTACATTTTAGATAATAACACTTAAACTGCTTTTATAAATGGGATTTTAAAATTATTTTTTTACCCAGAAAATGACATCGTTACAGCCCCCCCCATTTCATCAAACATCCGTTCGATGAGAACTATAAGAAATTAGAGGCGAGGCAACCAAGTTCCCCAACAAACTAATTTATTTGCAGTGCATTATGGGAAAGGTTGACATCTGGGTCAAAAAAGAAAATCGTAGATTCATAGATATGCGAACCCCCCCCCCCCCCCCCTGGTCTGACACCTAAAAATGAAACTGGTAATAATGTCGGACTGTGCACAAAAAACAGACACAGCCAGCTTGGTTAGGTTTTTTTTAGGCTAGTGTAAATAATCGTGGATTCGAACAGCGCCCCCATTGAAAGTATGGCACGATCCCCCTCTCCCCCCCCCCCACCCACCTTTTGATTGTCGGAGGCCAAGTGTTCGGAGAAAAATCTTTCACATTTAGGATTTTTTTAGCTGATGAACCCCCCCCCCCCCCCCCCCCCCCCGCGAAAATTCATGGATCAACCCCTGCGTGGGAACAGTTTACACTTATCAGAAGTTGGAAGGGTGGACAATACAGTACGCCCTCATCTAAAATGTTCTTTATAAACAAAGAAAAACTTTAGCTTTTAATCATTTTGGACTCTTCAAGTGTTATATAAGATACGATTCATTAGGTTAATTTAAAATTCGATTTGAAAAAAAACCACCCCAACTTAAACCAAAACAACCACACCTTCTGATCGAAACATATCGAAACTTGAAGAAAACAATTCATTCCTTTATTTTTCATTTGCAAACAAGTAAAATGCAGGGATTCTCAAACCGACATGAAATTGTATGAAATAATATGAATAACGAATAATGATTTTACTAATTTTCACATGTTTTTGCAATTTTCAATTTAAGAATTTTCGAACATTTCTCTAATTGTTTGTGAACCTTTACTTGTGTTTGAAATAAAAAAGTTGTTTCTGAAATAACGTCGCGTTGAATGCGCCTATCAATCGTTCCCCCCTCCCCCGGGCTGTCCCACCCAAGTCGTGGGGATTGTAACTTTTGAAGTGACAAAATCCCCACCCCTCGGGTAAATTTTAAATGACAATCCCTGACCATGCCCCGACATAGATACGTGGGGCGCACTAGTGACTGCGTCTTCTGTAGTACGCCAATGGTAACGATGTAATTTGAGCGACCAAAATCCCCTCCCTGGGGCATGAAAAACGAGACCAAATCCCGACCTCGGACCTGGGTTAGCGCGAGGGGGGGGGGGGAGACATTATGATAGGCGCATAAATAAATAAGGCACTTGCTGTTCCTAAACATGGTCTAAACTCAACAGAAAAAGTTAGTAGTGATCCCTTACTATGGAACTGCTATCTCTTTCGTCATTCGAAAATATTTATAAAGGGACTGAAATCACCCATGATAAAGTGAGTGATTAGTGCGTTTTCTATCACTTAGTCTTAATCCAAATGATACTCTGATTCCCTATACACGATGATCCCTGACGTCTCCCAATACATGGTAGGTCGGGTAGCCGTTACAATCAAAATGGGATCTACCCGATGTTCTCTAATACCTATGTTCCCCAATACCAATGTTTCCCGAAATCCTTGGGATTAGGGTAAGGGTTAGGGCTATGGTTATGGTAAGGATCTCGGGGAACATCGGTATTGGGGAACATAGGTATAAAGGGAACATAGGTATGCACCCATTCAAAACGCACAACTTGACCCAGCAAAGCCCTATCCTTGTGATCGGCTAGTACATTTGCACATACATGTACTTGAGGCACATCGCCTAGATGATAAATGTACTGAGCATTACGCCAATGTGAAAATCAAAAAAATAGGAGCAACAATAACATGCATGATAGGCATTATGTTGGTGAACATAACTATTTAACACCTAAACATACCCGAGTGTCAATCGAAAATAGCGATGAAAATGTCGCTTTTTTCCGTTCTGGTCGTATCATTTTCGCACCTACCTATTAAGTCTGAACACAGACTCAAAATGGCAGGTCATTTAAAGTCTGATACTAGCCAGCGCGTGGATTCTCAGAATGACTTATGACATGAGGGTCAATTTAAATATCTACGCGCGTACCAATAGGGTGCTGCGTTTAGCGTGAAGCGCGAGTGTACAAGAGAAGTAGGCCAGTCAAACTAGACACAGCCAATATCGCAAATAATATGTTAAAAGCACTAGGACTGTTGCATATACCACTGATCTCTATATAAAGACTGGATATAGCGGATGCCCATACACCAGCCACATAGTTGAATTTGCATTTTGACCAGTTCGGCCCGGTCTTGCAAAAATGGCTTCCGATATGTGAATGTTCTACGCGTTATGTAGACCTTTCTATCGCCGACGCGTGGTTGGCAAATTTGCCAACCACGGGTTGCCAAATTATGGAAGGTCCAACACTGCAAAAATGGAGAATAAACATTAATGATAACCAAAATAGTATTTGATTGCTGAAAATACAAAATTATCAACAAACGCTACAAGTGACAATCATCAGGGTTCATCGTGGAACATGTGAAACCACAATCGCTCGAAGTAGTGGGACTCCTCTGCGTTTGAGGAATTACCGTGAGCCGAAATCGCTCTCTGGTAAAACTCCAAAGGGTGTTTTCTGATCATCTCTCGCGTGGCGGCAAAACAGGCCTTCCAGCAGTGTGGTATTGATCCTCCACGCGGCTTGTGACCGTAGATGTATTCATAAAATTCCATGAACGTAAAATCTGATGGTCTGAAATACTTATTCTTGGGCTTCAGTAAATACTTATCACCGGCACTTATGACGTGTTTCTTGTGTACACTGTAGCCGCCTCCTTTGCTACATGGGATGCCTCGCTTTGCCTTGGAGACCGCATCCAGGGGATTTCGCCTGCAGTGTCGTTTGTGATCGGCAATCTCTCCGGGGTAAAATACGGTCACATCTGGAAGATGGTCGTAGTTGGTGATGATATGATGCAGATAGGAGTGGCTCTCTCGACCAATGTTAGGGAGCCTCTCCCACGAGTACCACTGGGAAGTCGGCCATGCGTCGCCCCCTTTGTGGTAGACGAATGTCCGATTCGCGAACGGCTTAACCCAATCCAGGTCCTCCTGGTACTGGGCAACGACGATTTCATAATCCAACGGAATTTTGCGACCCGTGTTTTTCTTGGAATTGGCGAGATTCGGGTCCGTATAAGTTAACTCCGGAATGCCATGTAGGAAGTTGTCTACAGCCTCGACTCCTTGCATGAAGGAATGATCTTGCTTTCCAACCTCATATTTCCAACCTCCGAAAAGTCCACGGGAGTAGATGTCTTTGTTTTTCAGCCAAGGTTGTACCGTGTCAAGGATCATATCCCTTTTAAGTGAAGGGACGGGATACCCATGCTCCAGGCGACGGTAGTGCTTGGAGACTACCATATCAGCTGTGATAAACCCGTACATGACTAAAGATTGAATGGATTCTTTAATCAAGTTTTCCCTACTCCAATACGCTGGATTAGAACTTGTCTGCGGTTCGGCTATTTCGCACATGAGAGACCAGTACGCTCCCGCTTTGGGTACATGGTCATCCGAGTAATTGGAGAACATTGCCACGCGGTAGAACGGAGAATCAGAATCCGGGAAGTACAACCAAGATTTATCAGCGAGGGTCTTGGGTAGTTGACCGGTGAGGCCGACGCCTACGACGTGAGTGTGTGTGTACACCAGCTGGGATGCTAGCTCCAGCATCTGCTCCAAAGACTGATCACGACTCTTCAAAAACCCAGTCAAAATGTCCAGGGGAATCGTTGATATCAGAGTATCGTATTCCAATGTGTATTTAGATTCCGTTGCATCTCCTCTTTCAATGGATATTATTTTTTGGTCAATATCAATACCGGTTACCTTTTCGTGAAATTTGAACCAGTGGCTTGGAAGCTGTTTTGCAACTGACTGCAAAATTCCACCAGTTCCATTATATTTGGGGAAACGGAAGAAACGGTTCGGTTCCCATTCGGAATCCTTGGTGTTTGTCCCGTTTATATCTACCTCTTTAATCTTGGTCTTGATCTCTTCAATGTTTGGTACGGCAACCTTCTCGCCAACCCAGGCCGAGTTCATTTTCTTGGGGTCGACCGTCCACATTTTCGGGTTGTATTTCCTCATATAGACGTCAGCAAGACCCACTCCGAATTTCTGCAGCAGCCACTCGTCAAAATTGTTGGGTTTACTGGTGATGGGATTTTTGGCAATCTCTTCTAATCCTTGCAGGCTTTTTTGCTGATCAATTTTATCCATGACGTGGATATTGTTCTGAACTGGATAAGGAATGAATCTCCTCTCGTCATCTGATCCTTTCATGAAGGCAAATGACGACCTGCGCCGGTAGTTCCACTCGGGTACTGCCATGTTCAGAACTCGATCGAAGTAGGTATAATGGGAGAAGACGACATGAAATCCATCGTCCCAGAGAAAGCCTTTATCATCCCTAACAGACGAGGCTCGGCCTCCTAGTTTGCCTAGCTCTTCCAGTATAGTGATCACGCTGTTGTTGATCCCTTGCCCGAAATCGTGGAGTCTTTTAGCAGCACCCAGAGCGGTAGGTCCGGAGCCAATGATGACTATTCTGTGTTGTTTCTTCGATTCCCTGGAAGTTTCTTGGTCATCGATTTCCGATGGCAGCCGCGTAGTTTGGTTACCGTTTGAACCTCTTCTGCCTTCTGCAGCATCTGGAGGGCCTGTTGATGTGTCACTGAGAGTTCGGATGTTTTTACTGTTCTTCATATCCACGCGGGAGCGGATAACTGGAGTTGGAAAAATAGCTGTGGATAAGAAACAAACAAGATCTTTTTGAGACGAAATTATGTCTGACGTTAGTGTACTCATGTAATTTTTTTTCAGAAGAAATATCTTTTCAACAACTGACTATCCTAAATATGTCACACTTTCCGTCTATCCTATCTTACATTAACCTGTATTTTTAAGGCTATCCGATTTCCCAATATCCTGAATTGCTTAGCCCCACAATGGAAAAAAAGTTGGGTAAACATAAATAAGGAAACACATTTTTTTTATCAAGAATTAGTCCAAATTAAGTTTGTTCAACTGTCTCTTCCTGAGGTTTGGACAGTGTAGCAACCAGTTGCAGGGAAATGATTTTCATCAAGCATCGGGCTGTGTTTACTATCCCATAGATTGGTCAATTTGTTTACACAATTAAACCTGTCGATATTTGTTTACTCGGTCGTCAATTCTTGATGTTGGGCAACTGTAACAACAAGGCGGGCGACGTGAAGCCTCGTACTTTTAACTACTCAAAGTGTACGGACTGTCTGTAGTACTCCGTCAACTGGGAATGACTAAAAGGTCCGCAGAACTTAGCTGTAGTGGTAACGTAATGAAAAATTCAACAGTCTGACAGTCTGTCAGTGATAAGGTAACCAGTCTAAGTCGCTAGTCACAGCCAGTCAGTCAGTCAAACAGTCAGATAGGTAACCAGTCTAAGTCACTAGTCACAGTCAGTCAGTGAGATAGGTAACCAGCTCTAAGTCACTAGTCACGGGGAGTCAGTGAGATAGGTAACCAGTCTAAGTCGCTAGTCACAGTCAGTCAGTCAGTCAATCAGTCAGATAGGTAACCAGTCTAAGTCACTAGTCACAGTCAATCAGTCAAACAGTCAGATAGGTAACCAGTCTAAGTCACTAGTCACAGTCAATCAGTCAAACAGTCAGATAGGTAACCAGTCTAAGTCACTATAGTAACAGTCAGTCAGTGAGATAGGTAACCAGTCTAAGTCACTAGTCACAGTCAGTCAGTCAAACAGTTTGATAGGCTACCAGTCTAAGTCACTAGTCACAGTCAATCAGTCAAACAGTCAGATAGGTAACCAGTCTAAGTCACTAGTCACAGCCAATCAGTCAAACAGTCAGATAGGTAACCAGTCTAAGTCACTATAGTAACAGTCAGTCAGTGAGATAGGTAACCAGTCTAAGTCACTAGTCACAGTCAGTCAGTCAAACAGTCTGATAGGTTACCAGTCTAATTCAAAGGTGACATTCAGTCAGTGAGATAGGTAACCAGTCTAATAAACGGGTGACAGTCAGTCAGTGAGATAGGTAACCAGTCTAATTCTCATGTCACAGTCAGTCCGTGAGATAGGTAACCAGTCTCATTCACAAGTGTCAGTAAGTGAGGCAGGTAACCAGTCTAATTCTCAAGTCACAGTCAGTCCGTGAGGTAATAATAATAAATGATAATAATTAACATTTATATGGCCCCCGTAAATAATATGGTCTTAGTCGCTGTACACATTAAAAAGATAAAGTAATTACAATATAAATATATATTTTTAAAAAGGTGAACGTGTAGATCAAAACATACAATTACATCATAAGTCCAGTGAGGACAAATTAGCCATTGAAAAACATACTTTTTCTTTTGACATTTAGCCTTTAAAAACATTTTTTTAAACATACATTATTAACCCAGCTATTAAAAACCATAACCAATGAATTAAAAAGCCTGCTTAAGATAGAACCAGTCTTATTCACAAGTGATAGTAGCTCAGTGAGATGGGTTAACAGTATTATTCTCAAGTCACAGTCAGTCCGTGCGATACGTTACCGTCTAATTTACAAGTGACAGTCTATCAGTGAGATAGGTTACCAGTCTAAGCCACAAGTGACAGTCACTCTGTGAGATAGGTAACCAGTCTAATTCACAAGTGTCAGTAAGTGAGATAAGGAACCAGTCTAATTCCCAAGTCACATTCAGTCCTTTAGACTAGGTAACCAGTCTCATTCACAAGTGACAGTCACTCTGTGAGCTAGGAAACCAGTCTAATGCACTAGCGACAGTAAGTGAGATATAAACTAATTCTCAAGTCACAGTCAGTCCTTGAGATAAATATCCAGTCTAATTCTCTAGCGGCAGTAAGTGAGATAAGGAACCAGTCTAATTCCCAAGTCACAGTCAGTTCTTGAGACTAGGTTACCAGTCTCATTCACAAGTGACAGTCACTCTGTGAGCTAGGAAACCAGTCTACATGTAATTCACTAGCGACAGTAAGTGAGATATATATCAGTCTTATTCTCAAGTCACAGTCAGTCCGTGAGATAGATAACCAGTCTAATTCACTAGCGACAGTAAGTGAGATATATATCAGTCTTATTCTCAAGTCACAGTCAGTTCGTGAGACGTAGCCAGTCTAATTCACAAGTGACAGTCCGTCAGTGAGACAGGTAACCAGCCTAATGAGACAAGTAACAGTCAGTCAGTGAGATAGGGAACCAGCCTAATCCTCAAGTCGCAGTCAGTCCAAGAGATAAGGTGGTCGCCATTTCCCTATAATACAAGTAAATTAAATTAGGCGGTCTACGTTTTCCGTGTTATATCCAGAGGAAATTTTGTAAATTTGTCCTAGAACTTGCACAGAAACAATTATGTGCTTTAAACGCCCCCCCCCCAAAAAAAGTAGTTAAAGTCAATTGCCTTTATGTGAGTACTAAAACACGATGAAGTGGATAGTTTAGCTCTTTCTAAGGGCCATTCAAAATTTTTGATTTTTTAAATTTCGATTTTTTTTTTTCTCGAAAATGTGGGTGGGTGGGTCAAATTAATTTATGGACTCTTTTTGTTAATCGAAATTCACTTTTTTTCAATTAAAAAGATAGAAAATAGAAAATAAAAGCTCGTTGGACTTGCCAATTGCGTTCCGATTCGTAAACCTTTGCCCGTACTGTATGGTAGTGTTGTGGCGCTCTTATGTAATAACAGACGTGGCGCTCTTATAATACAAATTCTTCTAAGGGTGCAGACCAGTAAATCGGTCCGAAATTGCCTGCGCCGGCCAAATCACGATTTGCATGCCCTCAAAATCTTCGGTATTTGGGCATGCTGTGGGCCATGAACTTGAGGGTTTGTAAAAAATATGGGTGGAAGCCGTGCACAGGACTGGGAGCTTGCAGTTCTGTGTAATTTTGAAGTAATTTGGACCCTAAAAGCGCTCTATTTTGCAATGGAGTGTAGGCATCGTTTTTCAAAATGGCGATGGGCTTCAGGACTATTTTCAGGGGTGATCATCTTCAGATGGAAATTTCTCCTAAAAGTCATCAGTTGACCGAAAAGAAAATGAAAGATGATGAAATAAGCTTTAATTTGATGTGCGTCTCGAACACCTTGGAGAGTTGTGAGTATTTTTCCCGAATTTTTGAAGTGGGAGCATTTACCATTGGGGTCTATGGAAGTTTATTTACTGGTCTGCTACCCTAATACCCGCCTAATCTTGTGTGGCCATATAAGCACGCCCGTATTCATTGTTCGTTGCAGTTGGCTTCAGGGCGTTGGCTCCGTCATGACTTTCTGTACCATTTTCTGTAGTCATATTAAATTACTTGGAAGCAGAATTTAAGTTTCCTGTGTTTGGATTTGAGTTGTCCAATGTCTGTTCTTAAGCCTCTATAAATTCCTAATTCGCTACATCACAAGCATCATAAGAGTAGTCTACCGTACAGGTACCTTATGCATTCGGTACATGTACAATGTACCGTGTATTACTTAAAGGGAATGTACATCATTGGCTTCTGCTGTAATTTTCAGAAATGAACTATTTGAGAGGTTAGTATAATAGATCAAATATTGTTACACTGACCTTTTTGAAGTTTAATGTTCGAAAGGTTGGAAAAACCAAGAAAAACAAAAATGTTCAAGTAGTCTGGTTCCCTGACTCCACAAAAGATAAAATGGATCAACGTATAGATGATGGAAAATTGTAAGGCAAGGGAACCAGTCTAGCTGGCCTGCACCCGTTCATGAACATGGAACCAATAGCAAACAAAATTTGGACTGAAAAAATGGTAAATTTGGAGCAGTAGTTGAAAATAGTTAGGTATTTCCAACGCTGGTCGGCCGACCACCGTTGGAAATGTTTACAAAAATACCATTTTCTTGAAAACGACTTCACTACAGGTGCCATAATTTTACAAGATGCTTAAGACTGTAATTTACCAACATCCTAGTAAGGTATTTCGTAAAAACTTGGTAGTTTTATTTGTCGATGTTTGCAAATGTTGTATATTCCCTTTAAACTCCATCGGAGCACCATATGCATGGGGACCAGTGAAGTTAGACTTAAAGCATGCGTAAATCAGTGCGCCGTCCAAATGGAGCGGGATACCGGGTTCATTTGGTATACACGCCACGAGTGTCGGTTACGAATCGCGACAACGAAATAAACCTACTTTTGTTCAAGACTACTTAGGCAACCCGCATGGTACATGTATATCTCCGTGCAACGAACATGGCTGTGCCGCACGTCTGGAAAACGCAATTTGAGAGTTCAAATATTTGTTTTCTATCAAAACGACTGCAATTTCTGAATAAACTTCATGAATAATGGGAGTCATTATTGTGCCTACAACTATTTGCGAAGAGACAAAAGTTCAGAAGACTGAAGGAGGTAAAGAGTGAGAGTCGATGAGGGAGAAGACTCGAACCATAGAAAGTAACTTTTTGGCGCGAGGAGAGAAATAAAGGAGAGATATAAAGGAGAGAAATGAAACTATGTTACATAATGGGAGAGGAGGACTCGTTTATAAGAGATCTTAAATCGACCCACGGACGACTCCGTTCTTATGTCATTGGGGATGGCATTCCATAACCGAGGACCGTAAAACCGAAGGGTGTTGATAGAATACAAGGTGCGAGTGAAGGGAACAAACAGATTATTGCGGGATCTTGTTGAATAATCATGAATTTCATGAACTGAGGTGAAGTATGAGGAGAATGTGCGAGGCAGAAGATTGTTAGTAAATTTGTACATAAAGATCCCAGTGTGAAACTTGTTGATGTCAGTAAGAGTGAGGGTGCGTAGATGTGCAAAGAGAGGTGCAGAGTGGTCCCGAGGATGCGATAGAGTACAGATGCGAATGGCCCTTTTTGTGCGACAGCCAAAGCGTTCAGTTTCTTATTGCTGGTACGCGCCCAAATTATATTACCGTAATTTAGATACGGGAGAATAAGAGTGTTATAAAGTAAGATCAGAGAGGTGGCTGGAAGAAAGAAACGAAGCTTAGAAAGAACGCCGGTGTTTCGAGAGATGATTTTGGTGATTGAATAAATGTGTTCGGTCCAGGAAAGGTTTTGATCGATGATGACACCCAGAAACTTGGCTGAAGAGACCCTGTTGATTGGAATATTGTCAATTACAAGTTGAGACAAGTTGATATCATGAGGACGAGCCGACTTGCTGAAAAAAATATAATTTGTTTTACTATGGTTCAAAGAAAGTTTATTGGCTTTAAACCACGAAGACATCAACTTGAGTTCAGAGTTGAGAGTGTTTATCAAAGAGGTAACATCAGAGCTAGAATATAGAATATGGTTGTATCGTCGGCGAAAAGAGTGAAGTTAAGAAGAGATGAAGAATTGTGAAGATCATTAATATAAAGCAGAAAAAGAAGAGGCCCAAGGATAGAGCCTTGGGGGACACCATGCTGGATGTTAAGATGACCGGAATCATGGTTCGTTATAGAAGTTTATTGGGACCTGTTAGAGAGATAGTCGGCAAACCATTGGTGTGGAATGCCCCTGATGCCATAGTGATAGAGTTTAGAAAGAAGAATAGAATGATCGAGAGTGTCAAAAGCTTTCGAGAGATCGATAAAAACACCAATAGCACACAATTTGTTGGTAAGGGCATTAGTAATATTGTCGGAAAGTTCAATGAGGGCCATGTCCGTAGAATGTTTTGATCTAAAACCAAATTGCTGATCGAAAAGGATATGATGATGAGAGATGAATTGAGAAAGACGATTGTAAACAAGCCGTTCAAGAATTTTGGAGAGACAAGGGAGGATAGAAATAGGTCTGTAGTTGCTGATATTGTGAACATCGCCGCTTTTGAAAATAGGAATAATCTTAGCAACCTTCAGATTGAGAGGAACAGAAGCAGATAGAAAAGACAGATTAAAGATATGAGTCAATGGATCTGCAATGAGAGGAAGTACAGATTTCACCACGGTTGAACAGATGCCATCAAAGCCACTACTGCCACTGCTCTTCAACTCACTTCCAACCTTAATAATTTCGTATTTGTTCGTGGGGGAAAGGAAGAACGAGGAAGCATTAGGATTGTGCAAGGATTCAGTGAAGTGGGTATTAGTAGGGGCAATTTTGCTAGCTAAAGAGGAACCAATGTTAGTAAAAAACTTGTTAAAAGTATCAGCAATATCAGGCGGGTTGGAGAGGAGATTGTCGCCAGATCGCTGGGAAGATTGCTGTGCTTCTGTTTGCCGAAAATCCCATTGATTTCACGCCACGTACCTTTCAGATTATTTTTGGTACGGGCAAGCTTATCAGCATAGTACCTTTTTTTGCAAGTCGGATGGTGGCTGTAAGCTTGTTCCGATATGTTTTGTAATGCTGCTCATTTGCAACAGTCGGGTTACGAAGAAACCGCCTATGTAACCTGTTTTTAAAAAGACAAGAGTTAGTGATAGATTGAGAAACCCATGGTTTGGTATTCCTAGGTGTTTTGGCCCGTTTAAGAGTGAAGGGAAAATGGTGATTATAGCAGGAGGAGAAAATGGAAAGGAAAGTGTCATATGCAGATTCAGAGTCCTGAGCTAGATACACGCCACTCCACTCAATGCTGCCGAGGTCTTGCTTAAATAAACTGATGGAGTCCGTGTTAATATCCCTTGAAAGATATGTTTAAGGGGAGGATTCAGAGCTCTGGAGACAAGAAGTAGTGAATCGGAAGAGTGGATAGTGATCAGAGATGTCAGAGTACAGAATCCCAGCTGTGGTATTTAGATCAGAATTGGTTAGTATGTTGTCTATTAGTGTGGAAGAATGGGGAGTGATGCGAGTGGGTTTGGTGATTAAAGGATGGAAACCACAGGCCAAGACAGCATTCACAAAGTCGTCCGCGGGTTGGTGATCTACACAATCGAGTATATTAAGGTTGAAATCACCCATTACGTAACACAGCTTTCCCTCCCTTGTTATCTCCTCTAGGCAGGTACCAACAGCCTCGTTAAAGTTGTCAAGTGAAGTACCAGGAGCCCTGTAGACATTTCCCACAACAAGATTGCTAGCTTTGTCACGCTGAATTTCGATGAAGATTGTCTCAAAGCCGTTATGAGAAGGCGTGAGGTCTTCACGAATCCGAAAATTCAGCGAGTTCTTGACAAACATGGCTACCCCTCCGCCGGGTCTATCGGAACGTGAGGAATGAACTAGACGGAAATTATTCATGTGAACATAGGGCGGAGGGGTTGTTTGGAACCAAGTTTCAGTGAACCCGTAGATGGAAAAAGAGTGGTTTAGACTAGCCAAGTAATCTTGTATGTCGAAGAAATGTCTACAGAGGCTCCTGGAATTCATGTAAATGATGGAGAAGATACATGTAGTATGGTATTTCCCCCCTCGTTTCTTGAAAGCTAGATCCGCCCCTACACCCCGGTTCTACACCAAAATATACGGACCACATAATTCATTTGTACCTGGACCATATTTCCAATTGTTAGTGCAGAACGCCGAACGACGCTGCGGACGGTTGCTGTCTTTTGCATCCTGCATGGTCCTGATGTTCCTGCAGGCGAGTTTTAGAGTCTTGTTTTTACATTGAGAGTCTTTTTTTACCCGTTACTGCTCCACAATTTACTCAACAGGAAACAAAAATACACCATGGAGTAAATCAATAAGTGGAAACCTACCTCCTCTTCCAGGGAGCATCCTGCCGTCCATATTCCGAATCACGATCGACACCAACAACAAAACTGCCATCACTGACGTAAGAGAGACGAAAACACGGTTAAACCTGCTTGCCATGCCGAATAATTCTAAAATAATATTTACTAGATAATCTTAACGTTTCCTCTGTGGTGACACATAAATGAGAATCTGAAAGGCGAGATACTGATTAATCCGACACCAGACCTTTACACCCTTCAGACCTGCGATGAATCGAAACACTCGCCCACTGCATGCGCACATTCGAGTTTCTGCATGTTACTACCTTACTAACATATACAACAGTACATTTGTATATATATAGATTATTTTCCTCGTCCATTCATCGCTATTGAAATGTTCATCCTTGGCAGGTCGCGGGGTCGGCTTCCAATGGTGAATGCCCGAATGAGCACGATAACAAAACTATTGTCTGGTTAGTTCTTAAGAGCAAGCCTTAGGACGCTCATCCCACACGGAGTTGTATTGTGACCGGGAACATGGGCCGCGAATCAATTTCGTTTGTGCACATAAAATACTGACGGAAAAAGAGAGGTCATCATGTGTACACTCGCGTCATAGTGTATACCACCGCGGCGAACCAGGCTGCCGTTAAGACTGACTATCCTGCAGGCTGAGATGACCGGAGTATAGGAAGATTGCTTATGTCTATTAATAAGAACCATTTTCAAGTGGTGTGGAGTTGTTTGATTTTTTGTTTGTTGGGGTGTTTGTTTATGATTATTCGGCGGTTGGCCGGGATGGCGACTTCTTTTCGGTGGTCCCTTGCTCTCGGCCCTACTCGGCTCCCATAAAAAGCGCAAATGTGAACAAAAAAGTGTCGTCATTATATGTTAAAGGGAATATACATCTTTTGCTTTTGCTGTAATTTTCAGAAATGGATGGAATTGGGGGGTTGGAAATATATAGCAAATATAGTTACACTGACTTTTTTGAGGTTTTGGGTTCGAAAATGCTATAAAAACCAAGAAAAACAATCATTTTCCTGTAGTCTGGTTCCCTGACTCCATTTAAGAAGAAACAGAGCAGTTACATATATTGGGGAATTGTAAGGTCAGGGAACCAGTCTAGCTGGCTTGTACCCGTTCATAGGTGTGTAATCGATTGCAAACAAGTGCGATGGTCAACTGGGGTCAGTATTTGAAAAAAAGCCAGTTTTTTCCAACGCTGGTCGGCCGATCAGCGTTGGAAATTGATACAAAAATACCACTTTTCTTGAAAATGACAGTATACCAGGTGCCATGATTTTACAGGATGCTTTACACTGTCATTCATAACAGTCCAGCAAGGTATTTCAAAATGATTTGGTAGTTTTATTTTTTGATGTTTGCAAATGTTGTATTTTCCCTTTAAGGCCCACTATAGGCCTTTCTTTTGTTTGTAAACATTGGCGCCATTTTGTATGGGCTGCCGTAAGTGCATAAATTGAAGCCGTAGTTGGCAACATATTTTTTCCAAAAAAGTCTTCATAACGCCATCAACACATAGTAAAAAGACATATGTGGGAATAATTTTTTATAGCTTTGTTGAAAATGTTGTAATTTCAAGTATCAAATAATATTAGTGATCTGTAATAACTCTTCTTCATTTTTTCAGTGTTGGACCTTCCATAGTTTTTCAGGCCGTGGTTGGCAAAAATGCAGTTTGCCAACCAAGCGCAGAAAGGTCTATTGAGCCTTGCCGGGTAGCGAAATTTCTTTTCCCAAGCGAGATCGGACAATATCAAAAGAGGGCGCTCTCTCCGCGTTATGTATATTCATGATGTCTAGGAAAATAAGAGTATAAGTTATATAAGGCCAAAAAAAATATTCGGTCTCTGGTCAGACCAAAGTTCCGGAATTGACGCGGCGACGGGTTTTTTTTTTTTTTTTTCTCCTTTTTTTTCCTTCAAGCTTGGATTGTACAGACAAGGTGGAGTACTATTTTGCTTTTTTGGTGTCCTCATGTACATTGGTGTCCTCCATAATTTGCCTTGGTGCTTTCGATCGTTTGCCTTGGTCCAATTTCCCATTCCTTGATGCTCTGTGGTAAAAACAATTGAGGAGGTGCGGCAATAGAGAGCGCTGTTGGAGCTACCGCGGAACATTTTGGAAAAAAAAAAGATTGACGCGCATGATTATTAAAATCGACGCGCGCGCTGACCAAAGACCGACTTATTTCTTTTTGGCCTAACAAGGAATAATAGTGTTTCAATCACCGACGATTGGCAGCTGATTCGTGGACTGGTTGGAAGTAGTCCTGACTTCTAATCAGGTGATCCGAGTTCGAATCCCAGTGAGCGTTTTTCACTTCTTCTCATTTTAACTTTTAAATAAGTAAAGTGATGAAGGATCATTTCTCACAAGACGTAAAGCCTATCTAAGGATTGTGTTATGGAGAACAAGGCATTAGATGTGCATCAAAAGGACCAATCAGAAGATGGAAAGCGGATGTCGTTTGGGAAAAAAAGATTCGCTGCCGGGTAGGAATTGTTTGGCATAGACCAACAAGTGCGAGTGAACAATAAGCTCTGGCCGTGTTGCAAGAAGTCTTGCATGACAGTCTTGCATGAAATCGACGAAAATGATCCCTAACAGAGCTAAAAATGAAATCAATCAAAATGATCCCTGTCAGAGCTGAAAAAAAAATGCGACGCCGAAGAACGCGAAGCCGATGGCACATTTGCAGCACGACACTGTTCGTCAATAATCGGGGACAAACATACATACAGACGGACAGACGGACAGACCGACTACAAAGTGACACGTAGAAGCTCCTGCCAGGTTTTTTTTCTTTTTTAAAGGGTCTGTTTAATGGGGAAAACTCAAAATCTTGATTTTCAATTCGAAGTTTTGCTGAATATTGGTATTTTTTTCTACGGTTCACTTTGCTTATCAAACTGGCTCAATATTTGGCATTAACCCTAACACACCAAAGTGTTCGAATACAATTCACTCCTACCCATCGCTCTATCCAGAGACGCCCCCAATGCGGCACTCTGTTACCGCCACTCTCTCTTTCATGAAATTTTGTGAGAAAACGAAGACTTCGCAAATGATTGCGGGGAGCGTATATTACGACCATAGTCAATGCACGTATAGACTATGTGAACTGTGTGACGTCATGCCGACAGGCAAATGCCGGGCAACCTGGGCATTTATGCAACTTTCATTTGCATGTTATTTGTCCCACATTAAAGGGAATATACAACAAGAGCGCAAGAGTGTTGTTAGGATTATTCCCTAAATTCGTGTCCAATAGTCTACAACTATTTATTTCCTCAACAACGAAAGAAATACACTAAACACAGTAAGCTTTTCCTTCAGTATATCTGTTCTATTTACAAACAATTTACACTTATTTACAACTGTGGTAGGCCGGTATTTCTTCACTTGTTACATTAATTCACATTCTAAATCATATTATTTCCTTCGTGTTTCCTTTGAAATGAATAGCAATTAATCTTTAAACAAACTTCCACTCTGCAGTTACTTTAAATTATTTTACTCTATACAAGGTTCTTTAAATGGGAGGAGCAGCCGTTTTAAGGATATCAAGCCCACGGTACTGTCTTGAATCATCTGATGCCGGTTGATCGTTGGATACACCGCCTCCTGGGTTGGGTGTCCCAGGCGCGGTTCTAGAACCAATATTTTGGGGGGCTAGCACGGTCGATCCAGACATTTTTTTTCAGGGAGGCGTGCTGAAATGTTGACCGGTTATTTTTTCCAGACACTTAGGCCTCCGAAAATCAATAGGTGGTGGTGGTGGTGGTGGTGGTGGTGGTGGGGGGGGGGGGGGGGGGGGGGGGGGCTCATGCCATGTTTTCAACGGGGAACGCCAATAAAATCCTAAAATCATTCACACTATAGCAAGGGCGGATCCAGAACACAATTTTTGGGGGGGGGCCAAAAAAAATTTTGGTCCCCCAAAAAAGTGGGTCCAACAAATTACGGCTAGGGGTTCGGGGCCCGCTTGGGCCCCGAACAATTTTTGGATTCTAGATGCTCTGTGGTGCGATCTGAGGCAAATTCTGACCACTTTAACCAATTGTTTTTGAGGAAAAGATGGTGGTGCACTCATTGCCTGCCTTTATTGCGATGTCACATAAGAAATAAAAAAATTGGTTCGTTTTTTTTGGGGGGGGGGGGGGAGAGGGGCGATGGCCCCCTTTGGCCTCCCCCCTCCCCTCTCCGCCCTTGCACTATATTAACTAATGCACCCTTGCACCCCTTTAGGGGGAGACCGTTCACATGTACACCACAATCCTTCTTTTTGCTAATGCAATTTTATTTTTACGGAATTTATTTTGGGGGGGGCTAGACAAAATTTTGGGGGGGCTAGACAAAAAAATTTGGGGGCTACAGCCCCCCCCAGCCCCCCCCCCCCCCCCCCCCCCCCCCCCCCCCCCCCGTAGAACCGCGCCTGGGGTGTCCTACAGCCGCACCAGTTAGTGCATGTTATAAATGCAGTTAGTGCTATTGGAAGAAACTTTTGAGACTATACCATTTCGCGAAAAGGGGAGAAATACACGAAAACTTCTTACAAGTGTAATGTGTTGTCCAGTCCCCCCCCCCCCCCGCCTTTCGAATTTCCACGGCCGCGAAAATGTAGGATTTTTGTCATCCCCCATCCCCTCAGTCGCCGGCACAGATTTACGCCACAGCATTTCAAGAACTATACATACATGTCCACGAAGGCCTACATTGCAGTGCAGAAGGGAACCGTTTGTTGAAATTTGGCATCACGGGACGAGAACATCTAATTTTAGCAACAAATATCACACGGTTCATAGTTGTCTTTGCTCTGCTGGCTTGTCTTACCATAATAAATTAAATGGTTTGTTTTTCTTGCTAATGAATTTTCTTGCTGTTATATTCTGTCATAAGCATTTTCGGTGAACCAACTTCGGACCACCAACACAGCCCGGCACGGAAACAATATATTTATACAAATAAGTTCAAATCAGCTAAGGCGCCTAAATAAAAAACAAACTGAAATATTCAAATTGTTACTTTCCCAAACAAAATACTTTAAATAGTCCTGCAAACAAAATAATCACTCACTTTTTGCCATTAAATACTAAATAACTTACTAAGTAACATTATAATAAATACCGTAATGAATTCCGGCATGAGTAAGTGCAAGATAAAGTTGTGACCCTTCTAAATAATACGGGCTGAACGGCTGATTCTCTGTTTTTGCTGGTTTATTTCTGTTGAGGAACGAAGACATGTTACTTGGTCTTCGACCGAAAACAGAATCAAATATACAAAATACAAAAGAATGACGGTACAAAATACTTTGGAAATAATCTAGATACTAAATACCAAAAAGCATTCATCAATATCTAAACAAGATCCCGCGGTTTGCGCCTAAATTCGGGCAGCGTCCGCCATATTGAATTTTACTGTAAACACCCAATAAATACAAGATAATTAATCCAATCTTATATAATAATGAAGAAATGAACTTCTGAATTTCTTCTACAATATCGAAATATCTATCACTCTTACGATAAAATAATTAAATGAATTCTTGAATACATGAAAAATCACAAGTCAATCAATATCCTGAATTAGTCGAATATGCTTCCAAAATCAGCTAAAATGACCTAAGAGCAATCTAAATCTACTCAAGGATAGTACCTGTTAACTGTGAATTAATATAAGTTATTATTATGAGAAAGATTGAGGTAAAATGTAAAAAGATCATTACCTGTTGAGGAACGAAGACATGTTACTTGGTCTTCGACCGAAAACAGAATGACGAAATGTGGAAAGCGCGCGAACTGGGTTACAAAACCAAGAGGGCGCTCGCCAATTTAAATAACAGAAAACGATTACGTAATGTAAAAATAAATAGAGGGGGGTTCGCATCGCAACCGTCACAAAGGAAAAAGTGGTTTAGAAGATTCATTTGATGTAAGGCCATATCAATTTATCTAAAACAAATACACCCAACTAAACAACAACTCTATTTTCAGGACGCGTCAGCAGACTACCGGTGTCTTGTGAAATTTGAACCCCTGAGAAATATGGACTCTTCGCCAATATCGCGCATGACTCAACGAACTGAAAATTGCGTTAGTGTGCTCTTAAATGTGATTTATAAAAAAAAATACGTTTTCAACTTGCAATTTTTGTATTCCAACCAAAACCCCCTTCCCTATTTTTTTGCACGTCTGCAATCCCCCGAAAAAGTATTTGTTTTGGGGCAAAAATAGATCTGCTTTGCGAGCAGACTGGCTCCCGGTCCGTTATCGATACTGATTGCGGGGCGGGAACCAGCCGCGAGAACAGAATTATGGTCTGGCAGCCAATGATTCAAAATTCTAAAGTAAATGATTCAATAAGAAACCTCTTTTAAAGTCCTATTCAAAATGGAATACAATTCTACAAAAATAGCAGTTTAGAAAAGGAATCCATTTTTACGGGATGAAACTCAAACATAGCGCGGCAACTCACTGAGAGGTGAGGCTGAGTCCACGAATTTCATATAGGAGTCAAAATGTCACGAGATATCGCCATAAGACTGAGTCCAACACGGGCTCCCGTTGCTATGAGGCTACGTCTTTTGTCAACATTGTGCCTACGTAGTTGTCCAAGACCTGGACAATATCTCTAGGAAAGATAGAGACCAATGACCCGGTCGTAAGTTCAATAGCTTAGTTCAATGGCACAGTGGGCCTTTGATCAATAAAAACAATGACATTATTTATAACCCCCTTTCAGAACGCGCCGGACTGCAAATTTGCAAGGTACCCGCACATTTGCGGGTAATATTATTGCAAAGTTTCTCTTGTAAACCTTTTGAACTGTTGTCACAAATATAAGAACTCCATATTTGTGGAAAATATTTCGTCAACCAGCAAACAATCGAAAGTATTTTACAGTGGGACAACTTGCTGCAGATCAATAGTGGCTTTTAATTGGCAAATGTTCAAATATACAGGGTGAGTAAGAAAAAACTCGAAACCCAAATGTCAGGACCATTGTTTTAGTAAAGTTCCGCCTGTACCACTTTCAAAATCTGGGATATGAAAGCCCAATTCATAAGCTTTCTTTGAGTACAAGAATCATTCAAATCACTCATGTACAAGTTAAGGAATTTTAAACACATCCCCTGTTTTAAGGTTCTGTCCACGGATCACAAAAAAGTTCAGTGTTCATTCAGCAAAGCGAAAACAAATCACATGGGGATGTGAATTGTTTCGTTTTGATGAAAGAACGCACGCCTTTTTTGTGATCCGTGGACAGAACTCTTAAAACGGTGGTTGTGTTTAAAACTCCGTAACCTGAAAAGTCCATGTCTGATTTGAATGATTCTTAAACTAAAAGAAAGCTTATGCATTGGGCTTTTATATCCTAGATTTTGAAAGTGCTACATGCACCTTTTTTTACTCACCCTGTATTTCTCATTTCTTTTTGAAAATCACTAGTTTCTGTTAATACACATAAAATGCTGCTCTGCGACGCACTGTTTAAAAAGTGATACACCCTTTTATGACTGCGGAAGAATTATGCTTCCACCTCAATGTTAGTTCTTATTATAACACTTTGGCATATCTTGAAACCACTCATAATCACACAGCGTTCTCTTTGCCAGAACCCGCCCAGTATCCACTTTGGATACAATTCTTGGTCCAACAAATATAATTCAATAAGGCCGCCATTTACGCCAAAATCCTTTTAAATTTTCATCTTTTCTGCACAATATTGTCTTTGTTTTACTTTTGGGAGTAGATGTACTATAGCATTACAAAATGCAAAGCATTACATGTAATAAATTCACCATAACTTCATTATAGTGCCATGCCACATTTTGTTGAAAAATGCAAATTGTGGGTCAAAATCACCAGGATGATTTTGCCCATAAAAATAGGCATAGCGCCCTCGAGCCGTGACTTTAGATTCCAGGATTTAGTCAGTTTGATGGATACTGTTCAAAATGCTTGTACCAAATTTGAAGGTATTTGAGTGACAAATATAGCAATTGTGCAAAAAACCCCACCTGTTTGACCAAATAGGCAAAAATGTTATAAACGCTCTGACTTGTTGTCACCGCAGTGCAACTCAATGGCGTCATGTTGTAGATTCCCGGCCAACCAAATAAAGATTATTGAAAATAATGTGCCCCCAACGGTCCTGAGAAGATTAAAAAAAGCCCTGTTCTGACCGGGTTCTCGAAGGATAAAAAAAGGAGAATCAGTCTAAATGTTGTGGTGTTTGAAAAGCAGTTGCTGCTTGATGTATTTCATTGTGAAACCAAGTGATTTATGCATAGTGATTTCTTCGAATGTGTCTGTACTGTTACTAAGTTGGTTTTTATTTACGCTCTCCGCTGGGGATTTAATCCTTGCTTCACTTGCACGATCCCCTCGCGTCAGATGCCACAACATGGCTGTGTACCTCTTGAGGGCGTACTCCAGGATCCCGACAAACAGGATGGCGTTCATTACACCCATGGCGACCGCGAAGAACTTGATCGGATCCGCGGTTTGGGGGTGCGTGACCACGCAGTACGAGAGATACTGCGCGATGACGCCACGAATGATGACGTAGCTGAACACGAAGGCCAGGTCGTTGATCTCGTACCACGTGTCTCCTTTCCGGAGCCCCACCTCGCGCAGGAACCAGCGCAGCTGAAACATCGGGTTGGTGCACTCCATCAGGCCGATGGCAACGCTGACCTCCGTGCCCGACACGCCCATCCAGAGTGACGTCATCATGCCGGCCATCGCGACCACGTGATGGACGGCCATGATGTGGGTCTCGCGTCCGTAGATTCGGAACGCCAGGCAAAATGTCGTATCGAAGATGAAGTACCCGAGACAAGTGACTTGAACGAAGACTTCAAAGAAGTTGGAAACACCGCCTGGAAAATAGAGGAGGAGGAAGAGTACAGAGCTGGACTAGATTAAAGTAGCTGGTAGGACTAACGAGACCTCTTAAAAGTTATCTTCAAAAAGTTAGAAATAACGCCAACAAAATAAGACGATAAAGGTACAATGAGCTACGTGCGCGACTAAAAGAGGGCGTGTTTTTACCTCTTTTGAGAGCTCCGTGGACGGGGAACACAGCGTGCGCGTATTGTACTGTACTGGTTCGTGCGCAGAGTGTGCAAAAGCTATAGCAACCGCGTCTTCGCGTGAGCGTCAGGCATTGATCTCCATATATGGAGATCAATGGCGTCAGGCGTCGTCGGCGCACGAATACATTCGAATTCAGCTTGCAATGGTCTCCGAGACTAATCTCCGCCTCCAATAATTTTGGAGACACTCGAAATACGCAATGGATGGATCGGGAACCAGTTTAGATCATCCCTAACTCTCCTTTTCTGGCCGTTGATGGGGTACCTGTGCACATAGAGCTCAACTTTCTATGAATACAGGTTTATTGAAAAATGATAAATTACCCGGTCTCATGGCTAATAAATCCATTGCATATGTTTTGAAAGTATATGTACCGAGCACTTGAAATCCATCTAAAAATGCCACAGTTTTGGGCGCCTGGTTTAATGTATTACATTGTATTTATCGACTGAGGAAGAGTATTTGGGCGGTTTCGGGTGTTACAGTGAGTAATAGGCAGGGCGGTTTCGTGTGCTACAGTGACTTAATAGCGTTTCATTTATACAACAATAAATTGACAATTGTACCGTTTCAACATGACACTTTTCTGGGTCGGTCAGTGGGTCGGTGGGTTGGTGGGTCGGTGGATGGGTCGTTGGGACGGTGGGTCAGTGGGGTGGGTGGGTACAAAGAGCACACTGTGATGGTTTCCTGGGACCCCCCCCCCCCCCCACCCCCTAATTTTGGACGGTAAATTTACCTGGCTGGGTGAAAGGCGACTGGTTGTTCCAGACGCCGAAGGCCAGTGACATGATGGAGACGGTCAGTCCGTGAATGCCGGCCACCGTTCGGCCGTTCCAGCCGTAGCTTCGACATGGCTGCAGGTAGCTGACCAGGCCGAACAGAGCTGTCCAAGCGGCGGTCGACACGGCCACCGTCTGGGCAATGCCCCAACCACTCGGTGCATTCATCGTGCTTATAAGCTGCGGCTGTATGAGCGTTGAGGAGAGAACACTAATTAGTGATGTGTTTTTGACATTTGGCTGACATAATAATTATGAGTGTGATTTTTTGAGTGAGTCCATTAGGGGAAATACAAATTACTCCAAATAGTTCCCTGGTGTTCATTGTGCATCCTGTCTCAAAAGATTAATAGGGACAATGTTATGATAAACCAAGCAGGGGAACTCCTGTCATTGTCTTGCGAACATCTCCGTCAAGAAATTACAGTCACTTTTTGTTCTCACTGTCACTTCGCCTCAGCAAGGTTCCGTAGTTCACCAATATTGCACTTTTGAATAATGCTACACTTCGTTGACTTTTATGGTACCGGACCCTTAATTTCATTAAAAGCAACACTTCGGACAGCTTAATACCGTCAACATGTGGGTGTATGATTTTGTGAAACATGAATGCTGTTGAGAAATATGTTCAAAACAGATTTGAATTTTTTTAATTAAAGAAAAATTTGATATTTTAGACATAAACACAACATTTTTTTTAACGAAACTGCGTCCGAATGCTTGAGATTACCCATTTATGAACTCGTGGCCGATTTAGAATGAAACATTTTGTCAAGTTAGTGTCAGACAGCAGCACCGAGAACTCAGCTTTCAAACAAATAATCCAATGTCTTTTCATAGCATACTCACCGATGAATTCTGATGGCAAAAGACCAGGTCTGGTTGAGGTACAGTACGACGTGTTCTTGTGTTTGAAGATCGGCAGTTAGAATGAGAACCGCGCGGTGTTACAGCTCTGATCGTCAGTCAAAAAATAGAGTCCAATCATACACAATGGGCAATGTTTTCAAGAACAAATTCTGTCAATAGCCTTAGAGAATCTCCCAGCAGGTGTACCAGCGCATTTGCAGAATTGCCCGGAATAACCTTTTAACACGAGGTAACCTTTTCGGACAAAAACCGAAGACCACACATAGGTCTACGTAGCAAGGCAGTAATGTAGATCCGCCTATGTTATACCCAATCCGCTCGTACGCTTGAGTATACCATGGATTTAACCCATTTTTGTGTGTGTCCCAAAATGTAGGGCCTTATAAAATCTTTAAAAGTGCATTTTTTTTTAATGTCCCGTGTTCCTAGCAACTGAGAGCGCTGATGCTGTGATATGTCACCAAACACAAATAGGGGCGGATCCACGAATTGTTGCGAGGGTGGGTGGGGGGGGGGGGGTCAGGACCGTCCGAATTTTGCCTGACCGATTGTTGCAGGCAGGCTGACATCAACCTCGTTCCCAGGTTGTCGAGCAGTACGCTCCCACCACTACCCGCTCTCTCACCCTAGTATTGGATCATTTGCAAATGTTACAAACTCATCCCGCCAATATGCGGTATTACATTTCGTATTAATATGAGCAAATTGAAAAGGAAAGGAGTATTTTTGAGAGGGCGTGGGCGTTATAATTACAATGATCATGAAAACACGTAATGCACGTTGGAAATAACACCAGCAAGTACACGATATAAGTCCATTACTACCCAATAAGCCATTTGCGTGTTAAATTTGCATAAAATCTGGAACACTGACTTAATCCAGTGCTTTGCACGTTTTAAGTTTGCATTCTCCCGACCAAAGAGACTGTTACTATATCACGTGATTCGGGGCAAGCCTTATGCTAGCAACCCCAGCCCCAGAATGGTCTGGTGTCTTTGTGCCATTCTCACCCATTGTGAACAATGTATTGGTGCTGAGCGTCTCTTACGTAACCATGCAAGAGCTTGCCCCGAATCATGTGATTAGCAACAGTGTCTTTGGTCTGGAGTATTCAAAGTTAAAATGTGCCAAGCATTCTGAGCAAGTCAGTGTACCAGATGTTTTTGAAATGTAAATCACAAAGGGTATAAGTTACTCGCAAATGGCTTATTGCGGTATCAAATGGACACAGGAAGACATTTTCCTACACAGGGCTTATTGGCAACGAGGTTGGAAATAAAATAAGCACTGGGAACGAGGTTGAGGCGGACATATAGCCAATGCTGCACATTGCTACTGATGCACTTATCGTTATATATTTTATGCCAAGTAAAACACAGTACAATAACGTTTACGGGCTTTCTGTACATGAGCCGTAAATAATAGATAATAGAATAAAATAATGTAAGCCAAAAGTCTGATTATTTTAACTTTTTTAATACTTTCTTGGAAATATTTGTTGACGGGAATAGGGCCTACGGGAATCAAAACGCCAAAAGGCATTTGCATGGTCCTTTGTGTAACGCGAGAAAAGAAATTTTAATCGTTTTTATTCAAAACGGTGATAACAGATGCTGCATGAATTATCGTCCATGATTCACAATCATACCCTTAAGGTAATTATTTCGGGCTGAATGATACTTTAGCAGTAATCAAACTAAAATATTCAGTTCGGGAAATTCAGCAGACACAAACTGTTTATCTCCGTTTACTAGACTATGCAACCCACAGATAGAATGATGAGTTCGTCGGTGATGATATTCCGAATTGGGAATTTCAGATGTGATATGGAGAAAAAAGCCCACTTTTGAATCGGTTGATTTTCTGAAATGAAAAAAGAAACCTGAATATCACCGCTTGATATTATTTTAGTCGTGGCGAAATGTTCGCACTGGGATCAAAGACGTCAGGCCACTGGACCACGTGCATGAAATGATTACATTCAATAAAGCTGACCATCAGTAGCTGTGCAAGCGACACAATGAATAAAATCCGATTGTCTTCACCACGCTTTTCAAAATTCGGTTAAACTGTTTAATGAAAAAAAATCTTACACCGAGCACTGAGCGCACATGAACAACTCAACATGGCTCCTTCTACAAAAAGCAGCCATACCGGAAATGCGAGATGAAAGTTTATGTTGCACTGCATGATGGGACGATTGGCTATGGCCGCTTTGGCGTGCAAAGCTGACATTTAATCCGGAAATTTGAGATGTCTATATTAGAAATAGATATATCTCTATTAGCAACAGAATATCTCTATTTGAAATACTGATGTCTCTATTTGAAATAGAGATATCTCTATTAAAACACAGATATCTCTATTTCGGGATTAAACGTTAAATTTGCACGCCATAGTTTGTGATGCACACAATTACAAGTTCTTGAGCTCACTGCCCCTTCACTTCATACTTGCGATCACCCACAAAAGATTCTGCGACCCATTTCTTAAATTTTGACTTCATCTCAAGTTTGGGTTTTCGCTTCAAATTTGGAGACCTTGACGTTTGATAATTTCGGCTCAACATTTTAATCCAGCATTTCTTCTGGAGAAAGCCGACGTCTAATTGACTCTCTCACAAGTTTTAACATTTAATTTACGTATTTTATTTGAAAACTTGAAATGTTGCAAGGCTAAAACCGAAGATGAAGACGAAACCAAGATTTCAAAAAGGCCACGGTAGTATAACAGTGTAAAACTCTGTCCCATTCAAAACAGGTCGAAAGGAACCTTCAATTAAACTATATTAGGAAGTAAATAAATATTTTAAAAAGTTACATGTCAGAGTCACTGCATCTTAACAAAATGAGTTACAGTATAAAAAAAACCATAAACACTAGCATATAAATACGTCATGTAGGAAAAATAATTCAAAAAATATAACAACAAATTATGACTTTGTGAAACAATATTTCTTAGTCGGCAATTATTATATTAATCAGCTGCCGTGGTGCACTGACATGCTTCAATTTAAAAAAAAAAACAATTATAGTTTTACAAATTACAACAATTTAAAAAAATACTATTTGATGACACTGTAACACGCCGTTTCGGGGAGTAAAACATTTATGTGCTTGAAATAAAATAAATTGTCTAACATACTCAGTAGCCCAAGTCAAGTTTCACTTTATTATCATAGTGTAAACGAATCACATCATGCTCATAGGGCGAGTCAAAAAAGACAGTGACCAAGTTTGAAAAAAAAAATACTTAAAGGGAAAATACAACATTTGCAAACATCAAAAAATAAAACTACCAAATTATTTTGAAATACCTTGCTGGACTGTTAGTGAATGACAGTGTAAAGCATCCTGTAAAATCATGGCACCTGGTATACTGTCATTTTCAAGAAAAGTGGTATTTTTGTATCAATTTCCAACGCTGATTGGCCGATCAGCGTTGGAAAAAAACTGGCCTTTTTTCAAATACTGGCCCCAGTTGACCATCGCACTTGTTTGCAATCGATTACACACCTATGAACGGGTACAAGCCAGCTAGACTGGTTCCCTGACCTTACAATTCCCCAATGTATGTAAACTGCTCTGTTTCTTCTTAAATGGAGTCAGGGAACCAGACTACAGGAAAATGATTGTTTTTCTTGGTTTTTATAGCATTTTCGAACCCAAAACCTCAAAAAAGTCAGTGTAACTATATTTGCTATATATTTCCAACCCCCCAATTCCATCCATTTCTGAAAATTACAGCAAAAGCAAATGATGTATATTCCCTTTAAAGTAACATAGGAATAACATAAGCAGCTCTATGAAATTGGCCCATGCATAGACGAGGTTCAGGTCAATAGTGAAGTCCGTATGGGCTCCGTGCGCCGACGAAAGAGGACGCCCTTTTACCCAGCAACGACGTCCCATGGGCGGGACATTTCGCTGGTTGCCGCGCACCGTTCCTTGTGTGGGACGCAAGTACACCAGGGGATTTGTACTATGTACACGCAGTGGCCGCGCTCCGCGGCAAATGAATTGCAGTCAGGCAAGATGGCGTCGGTCGGTCACCCCCATCTGTACTGTCTTTGCCGGTGAGGGGGTACTTGTGAACGGAGCGGATAGGTTCGAACAGCCAAAAATCAACTTTGATAGAAAAGTGTTATTGTTAAAAACGGCTTCCTTGAACAGAGTTGTCAAAATGTTTTCACAGTAAAATGTAGAACTTATTAATCATATCTTCGTTTTATCAAGAGCCGGTAGATCCTCCGTTCCTCCTTTGCGACCGGAGTGCGAAAATTTATTATAAACCACCACCATTATTTGCGCCATGAATATTATGCTGACAACATAAAGCAAGACCCCTCCCAACTTGAAGAACGGATGGGGCAGAGGGTGAAGCAGGTAGTGGTAGACCCAGTAGGAACCGATCCCCACACGGATTAAAGCAAAGGCCACGAGGAACAAGAGCTGGTTCAACTCGTACAGGATCCCCCCGTGATGCCTGCGTTGCGCATGAGCCAGCGTATCTGCAACATGGGGTTGGTCAGTTCAGCCAGGAACAAACTGAAGCCAATTTCCGTGCCAGAGAGGCCGGATACCAGTGACGCGCTGGTGAACATAATACAGACCAGATGGTGCACGATCATGGCTGTGTTGTGCTTAGTGTCGTAAAGAATACTCCTGAGGAAATCGTACACGAAATAGCCGTTGCATACCACCATTGTACTTATCTCGTAGGAGTTCGATTTGCCACCTGGTAGAAGAAAATCAAGAAGAAACCGCGTGATCAAAACATGAACAAAGTGCTTTTTATGAGCCCTTCCCTTAAAAAAATATCCAAAAACACAACCCTTCCCCAGAGAAAACTGATATTTTTTAGAAATAAAGTGATTTCAAAATCGGCTTGCTGTACACTTCACGAACTTCATCACCATTATCACAATCACCAGCATCAGCACTATCACCGTCATCACGATCAGCGGCCGAGTTTAGTGAGCCTGCCAAACAGGAAATATTTGTAAGCTAATTTCGGTGCTAGCTGAGCAAAAAAATGTGAAAAACCTGTGAGAAAGACTACACATCACATTTGGTAGAATCCTGTG